TTATGTTTGGATGATTGTGCCTTGATTTTGTAGGTTTCTTTGTACATATCAATACCTCTATATATTTAGGGTTTCCTTTTAGTATAATAACACTAAAAAAACATTGTTTTTATCATTGTTTTCAATATTTCCTCAAGAGATTATAGTAATAAATAAGTTTTTTATGTTAGGTTGATATAATTTTAGAAAGTTTAAAATTATACTAGTATTAATTTATAAAAAGTACTTTTTGAAATTATTAATTATTATTTACTTATGTTTGATTAAATGTTAAAACATTATTTGGGTATATTTCATTTCTTTCTTTTAAAAAAAAAATCTAACTTTATTCGTAATCGGATTTAATTTTATATTCTTTGATAAAAATTTAAAAATATAAGGAAAATAAAATTTGATAAAAATAAAAATAAATAAAGGAAATAAAACCATGGTGAACCCAAAATTATTACTTTTTGCTATCATACTAAAAATATATTTATTAGAAAGAAAATAAAATTTTTAAAATTATTAAGAAGGAAATTAAAATAACATTTTTTCTCTAATTTAAGTTGAATTTTGAAAACCAAGTGCAGAAATGATAATTCTATTTCGTTATTAAAAATTTTAAAAGTTATATTTATTTTTTAATAAATATATTTTAGTATGAGAGGAAAGAGTAATAATTTTGAATGTATTATCTTAAATTGTAATTCTCTCTTATTTTTATGCTAAAATTGATTAGAGAACCATATTGACACCATTTTAAAAGGTTTGGGACTATCATCCAACAATTTAAAGATTAGGGATCAAAATCAAATCCAAATAGAAGGTTTAGGACTAAAAATGTACTCAAAAAGTTAAACCTAAACAAATATTTTCCTTTAACAAGCTAGCCTTCCTGTAACTTGTACCAAACTGAAAGGAAAAAGTTACTGACAGCAAAAAGATATGTATAGAAGGTTTCTGCAACCAACACATCCTTCAGCCAATAACATGTCATTCTTAATCACCCATCTTTTGATTAATTTAATTTATTCACCAACCAACAATGAGAATAAGTATGTCAGCTTTTGTTTGGGCTTCCTCAACAGAAAGGCCAAGTAATCTAAAAGTGGCCCCCAATCCTCCCTTGTGACCTAAAGACATGCTCATATTTCCATAATTAAATATTGCTAAATTAAAGATATCCAAACAAATATAACACATAGACCAATACTAATTGCACATCAATCGAACCAGCTTAAGTACGATTAGCACTGTTTTCTGCTAAATATATCTGACACTAGAAACTTGTTATGGTAATATGATTGAACTTCATATCTATTAAATATCATAAAATTAACGGGCCAAGTTGTCTTTCTCAAATCTAGAAAGCAAACTTTATTTGGTAATTCTCCATAGAGGAATAAACAGATACCTATCCGTTCCTGAACCAGATATTCACTTATGGCTTACTACGAGGGATCAATATTGAAATTAATAATCGCCAACACGGTTGTCTATCTTAAACTAGAAAAGCAAACTTTATTTTGAGTACAGACTCCACTGGATGATAAACCACGATACTTATTCTGATTCCTCGACCACATATTCCACTAAGGGCTCCTACCTGCTACGATAATTGAAATTTATGACTGCAACTGTCTTCTTCGACTGAAAGAATGATTTGTTCAGTTTCCTAGAAATGTCATCAACTTTGTGGCTTACATCACCATGCTGGAGAGTCAGAACTAGTTCAAGGAAATTTTTCATAGCGAATGGAGAATTAATACTATTAGCATTCACATGATCGCTTGCTTATAAACTCTTTTAGTAAGTATATACCATTTAGAGCAATTAAGACAGCAGCATCAAGAAATTAATCCAGGTTAAGGTAAAACAACAAAATTAAGTCCTGAACTAAAACTGCTTAAGACAAAAAAAAAAAAATTGATGCCACATTTTTCAAATTCATGAGAAAAATTAAAAAGATATCAAATCTTCAAGAAACCAGCATAAAAAATAACTCTAGGTAGTTAAAAGTAAAATTAGTAAATTAATTGAATGTATTGAAACCTTCCACAAATGATGCAAAAGGGTTAATTTAAAAGTACAATTTATGTGATGTGTTATCTGTATTACCTGCTTCCTGGGTCTGTCGCATCATCATTCTCCACATCAAATGGACAAGGAAATTCAGGGTCATCAAAATCATCCCGTAAAGACCTTGGAACTTCGGGAAAATGAAACTCGAGGTGAGCTGCTGGAAGATGCCTTCACTCTAGAATATTTCCAATAGTCTTCTTTCTTGATAGCAAACAGCTAGACGAGACAAAAATAAATAAACAAATTCCAAAGGGCAAAACAAGATACACTAGAAAACACAACATACCAATGATGAGTATATGAAATACCTTCTCAACGGTTACACGAATTCGAACTGGACCCATATTATTATCAGACTTAGAAGTACCAGCTTTTGTAATTAAGGGGAGATGATGGTGGCAAATTTTGCTTGCAGGACAACACAGGGGAATTAGCAAGCTTAGGAGCAGGTACATTTACAGGAGCACTTTCAGAACGTAAAAGGGCTTTTGACAGATGACTCCCAGTAATGTGTATAGGGGGTGATGGTGAGGGGGAAGGGAAAGGGGAGGCAGAGAAATTGGGAGGACAATACTCATCAAAATTGATATATTCTTATGAGCTAGTAAGGTCTCAAGAGGATGAGGAGGTAAGCTCATAGGTGGCAAACAGTGAGAGCTTGGGTTGGAAACCGAAGAATGAGATTCTAAATATGTTCATGATGGTGAAAAAGAAACCAAAGGCGGTGAAGCCTTGTAATGGTCATAACTCTAACCATGTCTTCTTGAGAATGGCAAAGATGAAGGAGAGTTGTGCGACACAGGAAAAGATGGGAACCTCCTCAGTGGGTCTGCCAATGGGCTTCCAACATAATCTGGTATAAATTGAGGGAACATATGGGTTGATGACTCAGAGCTTATATCTGAGATTGATGACCGGAACAAAACTGAAAAGCAAAGCCTTCCACATGATGTGTCCAAAGGGGTAAACCAAAATCGTTGCATTTCTGCCACTTCTTTACAAGTGAAGGGTTTCAACAAAAGAGGATACCATAGGAACAAGCTTAAAGGCATGAAGTTGACCAGATGAATTGAGATCACAAAAAATCTTGTATGCAGGTAAAAGCCTAACAGTCATGTATAAGGACCTCAACAGCAATATCAATTTCTTATATAGCGTACTCAAATTATTACTACTTAACCTTACACTTCTTGTTCTACAATCCCTACAGTTTCTACTTTCATGCTGCATAAACCATCTTTCTATAGTCTTTTCACTTTTTTTCTCACTACCTGAATCTTTTTAATCAGAATCAGAGATTCAAATTGCGTTGTGGACACGTTTTCGGTCGTGTTACGTTTATCACAATTGCGTATATAACGAAAATCATTGCAGTCATCAAAGTCGTGAATTTTTTTTAATTTTTCATAATTTACTATAAAATGTAGTAATTATAATTATAATAATAAAAATTAGTACTTATAATTTTTAAAGTAATTTATGATATTTTAATTTTTATTTATAAATTAAAATAATTTTTTCATGTTTTGTAGTTATAATTCAAAATGAAAATGCATATTATAAATATTTTTCTTTATTATACGCATGAAGTTCAAAGACATAAGTATTATAAATGCATATGATGAAAAAAAATATATCTTATATGAAGTTATTTAATATTATAATTAATTTAATTAAAAAATTAGTGATGAATATTTTAGATATTTTTATAACATATGTTTATTGGAGGAATATGATAAAACTAACTGATTGACTATAGATAAATATACCTTATTATTAGATCAAATTTTCAAGTGTAACATTTTAAATAACTAAATTAAACCAAAATAATATAATAATAGCAAACTAATCTTTATTAACTAATAAAAATATACAATTAACAATAACATTAATAATATTAAAATTATATAAAAAACTACTAATTACTTTTAAAATGATAATAAATAAAAATAAATTCACTAATTAATATCTCACATTCTCCTTAAATTTTTATCAAAATCAACAAAAAAAATTCTCTAAAATATTTAATTTCTCACCAAATCATTTGCTTTTTCCTTTTCATATTTTCACCTAAATAAGAAAAAACAAAATATAATGTACTTTTAAATATCACATGTACCTAAATTTTAAGTTAAAAAAAAATACTATGATTGGTTGATTTGGCTCAACTGAATCCAAACCCTCCAAACTTTTCTCATATCCATGTATTCTTCAAATTTCACCATTAAATTTCTAAAAAAACAAGACATGACTGAAGCGAAAAAGTCTAAGCTGGATCCAGCAATAGTATCCGAGGACTTAGTAAGAAAGCAAGTGAAATAGCTAGGTCATTCAAAGGAGCAGCTAAAAAAGCCCTTTATAGGGCAGGGTAGGAAAACCAGAATAAAGAGAGAACCTTTCAATAGACTCCGAAAGAAAGAGATCGGCTTGGTGGGCTCAGAAAGAGATGGTCGATGAATGCGAACGGGAGCACCAATTGCTAGAGCACAATCAGTATCAGTACGAGTGAGAATTGTATCACGCTCGCTCCATCGCTCACTCTCTAAAAATCGGCGGGCATGTACCTTGCTTCTTCTATCTTCTAACCTCTTCCAAATTCCATCCACGCCAACTTTGTCTTTGTCCTCAACCCAAGGCACTTGCGACGCTATTATCGAATCCAAACCTCTCATCTTCTCATTTTGTCAGTTAAAAAATATTTTACTTTTTCTCGACTTTTAAAGTCTGAGATAATTATTGATTGACTTCAATAACATATTCTTTGATCTTGATTTAAGTTTGTATTTACTGATTAAATTATAAATTTAAAAAAAAATTTTGTTTAAAATGTGATTTTTTATATGAAATTCTTTAACTGTTTTGTGAATTTTATTCACAACCCAATTTCGGGTATGTAATAGTGGCGGAAGCTATTGAAACCTCGAAATAGCAGCCGCAATGCCGCTGCACAACCATTATTTGAAACCTAATCAGAATTAGAAAAACAAATTCCTATAATTTGACGACAAATGCCTAACGAGATCCACTTCGGGGGAAAAGGTCACAGGTTCCCAATCAAGTGGCTTCTGCTCCATTATAACATCAACCACTACCGGCTCAAAATTACTCTGGCCACAAAGATCAAGATTTTCTAGCCATGAAGGGCACTCCCTAAGAGCTAAATTGAACCACCTATCTCTTGGCCTCACACTTGACGAAGATGATGAGGATGAAGATGGAGATGACACAGTTTGTTCACCACTATAATTACACGATGACACATACGGAGACCTTGATTCAAGAATTATAAGAAGACTCTTATAGAAGAATTCAGTGATAACTTTTTCCATTTTTGCTGCTTCATTGTGAGTGTTGCCATGAGATGATGCCATACCTTTTAAATTAGCTACAAATGTAACAATCAAACCCTTTAAGGGAAATTGAGATTGTAAACCTGAAACACCCGTGGAGATAATCTCACTGCAAGTAGGAAAGCCATAAGGAAAAATCAAAAGCTCATTCATTCATAAAAACAAAACCCCAGCAAGAAATAACTCAAAAAATAGCAATTCAATTAGTTTAAAAAAAAAAAAGACAGCTTAGACTCTTGTTTTCTATGTTCTCTATAATTAACCGGTCTGGTTGTGTAAGAAACACGTTTTGGGAAAATGGGTCTTTTTTCATCTTATTTCTTATTTTTGCTTTTTGGTTTTTTCTTGTCTTCATCCAGCTTCCTTTTCGTAGAAATTTTCTTTGCAAAAATAGAAGAATTTTCTAAGCAAAGCTCAAGATTGCAGAACCAGAAAAACCAAACAAAATTAAAAACTTAGAACAATTAAAAAAAAAAAAAGAAAAGAAAAGGGCAAACGAAGCTGCGAGGGAAGCAACTCACCAGTTTGTTAATAGAGTGATTTTTTTTTTTCCTCTTTTGATAGGTTCATTATCCCCTTTTGAGTCCTTGTTTTGTAAAACTTCAGAAGTTCAGTAAAAAAACACAGGATGAAAAAAGGGAAATTTATTCAATAGAAAAAAACAAAAGAGAATATCTTCGTGAGCTGACACCCCAGCATGCTTGCCACGTCATCACTGGGTCCCTTGTTACTCCCTCCTGCTCTTATTGCGTATTGGACTTAATTGGTAGAGTTAGACCATGGGCTTCTGGGCTCTTGTCATTGATTTTTGTTTTGGGAAAACCTTATTATTAATCCCAAATGGACTGGACTTTTTGTGTCCCAATCAAAGCCCAAACTTAGGGATTTGTTTCCCTTTGTGTTTGATTATCCCTTATTTCAAGCTCCTGAGTTGTTTTGTTTTGTCTAATTAAATTTATAAAAATATAAAAATTATTTATATTAATATTGTTTTTAATAACAAAAAATCGTTAAACGTTTTAGTGTCATGTTTCAAGTCTCATCACTTATTCGATTAGTGCAACTTAACATTAACTTTTGTCCAATTATTAGTTAATTTGTAGATTGATTTGTTTACTGGAATTGTCTTATTAATTTCTTATACTAACTGTAATGATAATTTATTGTGACTATAATTTTTATTTGTACATTGCAACTTCATCATTAAAAATGATAGTAATAGCGATTATCCCAAATGCTCTTGTTTATTTCCACTGGTCGTGAAAATAATTCAAGGATTTTGGTTCCTATTTTCAATATCTGGATGCATTCCAATGAAAAATCTCAAGTAAATTACTCAGCAGAGATGAATCTGCCAGGGCTGGACAGCGAATGCGTCATATGCCTATCAGAGTTTGTGTGTGGTGAACGCCTGCGGTTTCTACCCAAATGCAACCGTAGATTCCACGCTCGTTGTATTGATAAGCGGCTTAAATCACACTCATCATGCCCGAAATGTAGCCATTGCTTGATTGAAGCATGCCAAAAAATCATGGGGTGTAATCAAACTAGGTCATCAGAACCATGTTTTCCAGCTCAGGACATGGTACGTGATTATAGAGGATGGATATGATTCTATTCGTTTGGCCACTTGTGAAAGCCCTCTGGCACTCTGGAGGTCTTATCCATAGGAGAGCTCAATTTGGAGTTTGAATGGCACCAAATTGACATCATTGATGTTCTTGATTAACGCCTAGGCAAGTTCAATTTATCAAGCAAATCAAACTTGCCAAGAAAAAAAAGGCCGGTGTCAACAGAGTTTAAGATGAGAGTTTGCGGTCGTGACTTTGGAAGACATATCTGAATCAAATTCTTACACGATCAACATTTTCATGGATGCTGCTTCACCTGAAGTTCAACCTTTTAAACGCTCTTTCTTTGCAATTACTAATTCCATGGAGCCAATGGGATGTGGACGTATTCAACCTCATATTTCCTTCAGCTGTTGTGGCTTAATGATCACCTTAGTCAAAGATATTTTGTTGTCTACTATATCAATGATAAAATTTGTTCAAGTGAGACTTGGTTTTACTTAGTTCAGATAATTTTTATATTTTGTAATGTTTTTATTTCGTGTTAAGTATATATAAAATAAGAAAATTATCTTATCATAATTTGTGTTCATACGTTATATATAAAACTTTTTTTACTTTTACCTGGTTTTTATCAAATTTTAAACTACTTTCACATTTTTTCTTATATCATTTATATGTCATGTCTAAAATTGTTAGGCCTAATTTTACTACAATTAATCTTTCCCCTGTGAAAATTCTGTTAAGAAAGACATTTGATGATTGAAAGTTGATCAATATCTATCCAAAGTTAAAAAGCAGCTCCCTCTCTCCTAATCGTTAGTGCGAAAGAGTAGTCAGGGATGCCTGATAAGAAAGGCACCACCAACAGACAAGCAAAAGGGAAAGCAAAGACAACACTGAAAACACACAACTTTAGTTAACCATATTATGGAGACCCCATTATACTCTATCTTGAGCCTTTTGAGACAAATTTAAATTCAAGCAACAAAACCAAGGCATCAAGATCGATAAGACGCTCAAACATTTGCTATTTAAACTTATCTCAAATTTAAATATTGATTTGCCAATTGAATTCATATGAAGTTAAGCTGTCTGGAACCATCATGTTGGGGCACCTCCACTGCAAATTTTATCTCCTCTTTGGACCATATTCTTGGCTGTGAATGAGTACAAATAAAGGAATTAAATTAGTTAAGGAGTTGATAACAAAAGTGACCTGAAATTTCACAGATTGTACATGGTTGATAATGGATGGGAGGGATTCTAATTCTCAAAGCTGTTGGGTGAAGCAACTTTCTGGCTTTTATTATTTGTATTTATTATGAATATATGACATATCTCTTTTCAGAATATTTTCAACTGATATTATCCCACTCATTGCTTTTAGTTAAAAAAAGAGCATGCTCTATCTTGTTCATTTTTTTTCATTTTTTCATCTTTCAAAGGAGACATATGGGACCCTTCTCCAGAAATCCTTCGGAACTTGGCTCCTAATGTGCATGCTTAAATAAAAAACTAAAACCATCAATGTTTTACAAGGTAATATACCTCCCAACCAGAGGTTACAAATGAATGGATTGTGTTGGATTTGGTTGAGCCAATTCAAGTAAAGTCATTTGGGATAAAAAAAAATTCAAATCATTTTGAATTCAAATTAATTTTGAATTAAATTATTTTTTATTTTGTTTAATTCAAGTTCACAATATTAATTTTTTAAATTGAAATTACATGAATTTACAGTATTAATTTTTTTTATTCAATTAAAATCGATTGGATATAAATTGATCGTACAAATATTTCGAATCGAGTAAGCTTTTGCCTGCTTTACTCCCAAGACATTGATCAAGCAACCTCAAAGGCCTGCAAACAAGTCCTCCTGAAACTTATTAAAAAGCACTGTTTTCTGTTAAAACTAATTCCAGATTGGTGCCATATATACCAGAATTTTTTACACTAGCATATTGCAAAGGAAAATGATTTTCATTAGACTGAAATGTTACCAAAAACATGTGCTAAGAAGATGTTTTGAATCAAATTCAATGTTGCCGGAGTACATGAAAGAAAACAACAACTTGCCCCAAGGTCTCACATGATAATTTTGGATTCTGTGGAACTGATCACTAAATACTTGGAATGAGTGCTGCAGTTTTAAGTGCTCAGCATTCCATGACATTTATGCCAAAAAAGAGATGAGAACAATCTACTAAAAAAGCTAAAAGCACCCATTAGTACTGGATATCTAGCAGTACAAGATTTGATAGCAATAGCATCACTTTAGTTTTCGAGTAGTACTTCTCTCTCGTAATAACATTTGCTGAAAACAGCTTGTATTTGTTTACTGATTTCCAGACAACATGATTTTTTTTCCCATTCTGTTTCTTTCTTTCTCTCTCCAACCTTTGTGCAATCCAACCGAGAGGATATGGATACATTTAGTGGTACAAATACGTCGCTTTAGGATTAGCCTATCCTTGATTTATCTGTTTTATATGAAAATATAAACATAGCAGAAAAGTAGAAAAGAAGTATCCCTACTTTTCTTTAAACAACTTTGGTCCAAAATCTATAATATTTCCTTGTGTATAAAGTACTTGTTATATAGATGGTACTGCAGTTTCCAGGTAGATTCAGTTCAACCTTTTTTAACTTTGGCTTAAATATAAAAAAAAAAAAATTCTGAACTAAAATTAAATAATTTGTTTTATTACAATCAATTGACTTTTAAAATATTTATTTTTTATCTAATTAAATTCTTAAATATTTATTTTTTTCAAATTAAACTTTCATTGGATGAAAATTGGTGATAATAATAAATGTTTAAAAATTTTATTGATTGCAATAAAATGATAGAGATTTATTTGATTATTTAATTTTAGTTCATGAGTTTTTTTTTCTTATATACTTAAACCTTTAACTTTTGATTGCTTACATCAAGTACCAATTAGGAAGTTTAAAAATAGCACGAGTGTTTCTGAAGATCTCATAGATAATTCAGCTGCATTGTAGCCACAAGTGGAAGCTGATTTATTCTAATTCTTATCAAGTGCGCAAAGGAAATCAGACTACTTGCACGGCTGAAGGATAATGACCTGATTTGATACAAAACTAAAAAAATTAAAGAAAATGGATTCTAGAAACAGATATTTTCTAAATATCTTATCTAAAGCCAGCGAATTGTTGTAAATTTCTGATTATCCAAAATAATAATAATAATAATAATACTAAGTGCAAGTAATTTGTATTAGTTTCGACTGCTAAAGCGCATTCACCATCGCAAAAGGCAACTTGCATTGTAATATGGCAACATCATTGGCCTATCACTTACAAGCAGGATAACTGAGCTTTCCCTGTGAAACATATGTTAATTTATTGTGATAAAGCTGGCTTGCATATCAGCATACAAGTTGATAAATGGCTATGCAATATCTGCAAATAGCGGATTGTCCATTAGGCTAATTTGCTGGTTAGAAACCAACTCCACTACCGTCCCTATCATGGTACCTCAAGGATTCAAAATAGTTCTATAACATTGTGATTGGTGCTTTGTTTTCATCACGTTTAACATCCATTGTTCCACAGATTCCAATGTTCCTGTGCCCACAGTAACTTGTTACAGCAGTGAAGGTTCATATTCAAGATTGGAAATCCACACTCGAAAAGCAGACAATAGAGAGAGTTCATATCCTTGATAGCTGAACAGGTTTTATCAGATAACTCCATAAAACAAAATCCAGTCTCACTGAGAAAACTTTTGCGCTGCATGAAAGTTGAATTGGCCTTTTAAGTTATAAGATTATATATTGAGCTAAAGTAGAGGGGGATTCAAATGGAGCAGTAAGGTGTCCATAAACACTCAAAAATTTGAAAAACAATAAAATTTGAAAGAAAATTTTCTTTTTGGTACATCCTCAAAATTTTTGCCTAACACCATTGATAAAATTAATAAATTTGTAGGCAGATTTTATATATATTATAATTAGACACTCAAAAAAAAAAAAAAAACCATGGATCCATCGTTATACAAAAGGCTTAACGGGGATCAAACTTGTTGAAGTACTAAATAAATCATGGAGGGGGTTAATTATCCTCAACTCCCTAAGAAGATATTCTCCGATATACATGCCTCCTTTAAAAAAATCTCATATTATAAGGCCCTGACCCACTTTTCAATTAACTTTTTAATGTATATATAATCCTTCAATGGAACTAACTCCTAGAACAAGCAGTGCAGCCATCTGAACTAAAACACTACGAAATTAAATATGTCAACTTCTTCAACACCCATCCAATTCACCCAGTCACTTGAAAACTTTCATTCAAGAAAATTTCTTCTACATTCCTCTGTTTACCAAACAGAAGCCCCAGCAATTTCCCCTGCTCAAGAAAACAGTTATGTCATCAATAACAACTTTGATGGAAATGTAATCATTGTGCTCTTAGCCCTCATATGCAGCTTGATTTCCTCTTTGGGGTTGTTCTGTGTTGTCAAGTATGCCCTTAGATGCTCAAGTTTAGATGCTGCTCAATCTGGTGCTAACCCTTCAGCCAAGTTAGAAAATACAGGAGTTGAACAGAAAGCCTTGAGGACCTTCCCAACTGTAAAATACACAACCGAGTTGAAACTTCGAGTCTTAGACACAGCTTGTGTTATATGCTTATCTAAATTCGGTGCTGGGGAGTGCCTGCGGATTTTGCCAAAGTGCAACCACGGATTTCATACTCGTTGTATCGATAAATGGCTTAGTTCACATTCTTCATGCCCTACATGCAGGCACTGCCTGACTGAAACAGACCAAAAGACCCTTAACTGCAGCCAGGCAGACTCATTGGAACAGTCTCTCCCAACGCAGGAAAGCACATAACAAAGAACTAGAAAGGGAACAAACTCATTGATTTTCAGGGTTGAAAATCATGAATAAACTATTTACCATAGAAATTCTCAACTTTCATCAAAATTCATATATGGTAGGGTCAGACTCCACCACTTATGCAAAGCTTGTAGCAATATGATTCAATAATGCAATCTTGTGTCTGGGGTATCATCTGTGTGCTAAACGTGCACTAGAATTTTCTATTCAGAAAATTTCACAGTTGAAGCAACAAAGTGTTACTTGAATTGAAAATTTTTGTGAAATTAATCTAGCAAAATGATCTGATTGGTTCAAAATATTCAACTAATTGTACGATCAATCATGCACAATGAAAATGCAATGTAGCCTAGAGAAAGGGCTAAGCATTCAACCTGAAATTAGGTGATAGGATCCCATTGTTCAAACTCTTTCTCAAGGAAAAGGGTCTTAGATTGGATGCATAACGTAATATCAAAGTAAATCTAACTCTTCACTTATGTGAAACCTCATAAGAGAAATAAGGTCAAAGTAGGCTTGAAGTTAAGATGTTGGCTTCACAAAGACCATATGAAAAAAATGGGAAAAGTTAGCTAATATTGGGATAAGGCCATAAGGGGTAAATTTATCATTTTACTTATATGAGTGGTCCAACTTTATCATTAATTTATCAACTGGTGTAATTTTAATTTTATCACTATACTTTTAGTTTTGAAGTAAATTTATAATCACACTTTTAAATTTGGAACAATAAACAATATTCAGCAAAAATATTTTGGCTAACCTATTTTACAATTCAAAAAATAATTTTAAAAATGACATGAATGAAAAATAATAACCACGACGCTAAAATCTAAAATTTTTATTTTATTTTCTTTTCTTTTTTATCATGATATTTTATTAAAATAATACTACATAATAAATATTTGTATTTTTTATTATGACAATTTTTACTAAAGATAATGTGATCATACCATACCTTTTCAATTGACTTTGATTTTTTTTTTACCAAGTCAATTTCAATTTTTTAAAAATATAAAACAACTTTTAACGAAATATTCTATGAAATATATATTTTCTAACTATTACATTTTGATCAAATATTTTCCAAAATTAGAAGTAATATGCTGAATTTAATTCAAAATTAAAAGTAGAATGATAAAACTACACTAATTAAAAGATTAATGATATATTAGGACCATTCATATAAATAGAATAATAGAAATTCTTTTAAGACAAGAAAACATTTTCAGTATCTACGAAGGATTGACATCTCTCTATTTTTTTCCCCATTTCTAATGCACCTATAACAACTATTGAAATGGAGTTGGAACTATTTTTTTTAAAATAAATATTCTTTGTTTTTTGTTTTCTCACTACAAATAAAAACAAGAAAGAAATTTGATTCGAAAATTTAATATTCTTTCAAGCGTCTTTAACCCCTAAAAGCTCTGGACAAATATTCATATATTACTCAAGTGATTTTGTCTCAACAATTTCCACGATGCTTGTGGGGCATTCCCCTATCCACATATCATCAGAATGGTGTTGCAGGCCTATTTTGGCTAATCTGTGGGCAGCTTTGTTTGCCTCTCTTCTGACCTGACCTACACTGAAAGAACAAAAGGTCTTTCCTTTTTCTTTAATATCAGCAATGATGTGTCCCATGGCTGACAGGTCGTCCTTCTCTAATCAAATATTATTAATGATGTTTAATGCATCTCCCTCCAGTATCGGGTTTGTCAGTCTCATCGATGTTGCCATGTCCACCGCTTTTGCCGCTGCCCATGCTTCCACCATGCTTGCCTCGTGCACGTTATACACCCTGGTAATCGCTGCCCCTAGCACCTTACTTGTGTGGTCCCGTGTTATGACTCCCAATCCCCCTGAACTGTTTGCCCCTATGAATGCACCATCAAAGTTTATTTTAACAAAACCCACATGTGGTGGTCTCCACACTGTCTGAGTCGTTGCCATTTTCTCCATCCCTCGCGCTTGTGCTTGCTTAAACTCCAACAGATATGTTGTAGCAAACTGGGCTAGCGCTTCCGATGATCTATTTTCTTCTGCTTTCACCACCATATTCCTCCCATGCCACACGACCCAACTAACCATCAACCCCAGTTCCCAGCTTGCAGCATCTACATCCCTAACAATCTCATGCAACCAACCGCTCTCTGCATTCTGGTTTACGTCCCTCCAGTTCGCTTGGAGAGTAACAACATTCCAAATAGCCTTTGCATATGGGCATTCCCATATGGCATGAACTATGGTTACCTGCTGCTGACCACATCTAGGGCATATGCCTTGTATCTAAATTCCTCGTTTCATCAGCGTGTTATAGGTTGGTAGGAATCCATGGTTGAGTTTCCATCCAAAGACTTTAATCTTACTCGATGTGCTCGCGGACCACAGTTTTTGCCATGTATGCCTTGTCACAGTTTTTGTTATAAATCTCACACACGTGAGCACGGTAATAGATGTATTTCTGGGGATTAAACCATGAATTTTGTGTAATCTTTGAGTCAAAATCATTCAACACAATGTGTGATACGTTAATTCTTCTAAAAAAAAGTCACATACTTTGAATCGTTCTAGAATATCAAATTTTGATTTAGCTTATAATAGGGAATTAAACAGATTTGTGTGTTAAAAAGAAGTGTTAAGAAGGGGCAGGCCATTAGAGTAAGTGGAATACATTCCAAGATCCAAACATATAGCAGCCGACATAGAAATTATTCAATGTTTATAATTTGAGCAGTAAGATGTTAAATTAATTTTCAACTATACATTCCATGATCAAGTACCAACTCTTTTTTAGCAGTTTTAACAAACAGTTGATGTGCATGATACAAATTTTGTTTTCCTTTTCAAAATTTAGTATTATATCCGTCTCCATTTGACTAAAAATCGGATTTTTATCATATTTGAATATAATTAATGTCTCTAAACATGAGCTGCATAAGAAAAAAAACTTAAATGGTCCTTTTGCAAATCAAATTTTGAGGAATGGCTAATGATAGGTAGATACCATATCCCTAAAAAAAGTATAGAAAAGAAAGCAACAGTCGTTACAAATAGTAATGAAAATGAAGCAATTAATGATCATGTTAAAGTGAGTTATCCTCATTAAATAAATATATAAAATTTTATAATTTTATACTTAAATTAAATTTTTTTATTTATTATCAATTAATTTTAAATTAAATGTTTAACAAAAACAAAAAAAAAGTTGATACTTAATATTACATATTCGAAGAATGCGTACAATTAGGCCCAAAATCAGTTGTAAGTAATGTCTTCTTATCTCTTTTTAATTATTTGCATAATTTTTTTTGTTTGGCACCTTCGGTATTCAATAGCCACTTTAAGTCTCAATTATTTTAAAATTAAATCAGAATTCTATAAAAGAAAAAGCTTTTTTAGTGCTTACTTTTTTCATTTACGAAACTTAAAATCAATATCTTACTTGAAAAAAATCGAATTCATTATCACTCGGATCAATTAAAATTTATAATTATTTACATAATTATTAATATGTAAACAGCACCTCAGTAAGTTATGCAAAATATCATATATATTTGAACTTGTGATTGGATTGGTTTTAGTAAAATTGATAATAATGATAGATGAAATTAATTTTTTTAATAGTAAGAATGGATATTATAACAATAAGATCAAAATTAATAATGAGATATATGCTTAAACAACGATAATGGTGTGATGAAGTGCATAAAGAAGAAAAAATTATCATTAAAAAATCATCATTAAGGACAATAAACCAAAATTTGTATATAATATATTTTATAATATATATTTGATACTTGCAAAATTAATAAATAATTAAAAATAATGAACCTATTTATATATATATAATAGTATTTTTGTTAATAAATTAAAAATTATTAAAATTATTTTGTATAATAAATAATACTTATATTTTAATGTTATTTAATATTTAAAAACTTTTAAGTTTTATTTAATAAATAGTGACACAATATTATTTTAAAATAATATATACAGGATTTTTGAGTAATAAAAATTTAATAATTATATTTCATAAATATAAAATAATAGTTTATATATAAATTTATATATGTAAACGTATTTATACTTTAAATAAATGTATAATTAAAACCTCAAAATAAAAAAACAATAAAAAATTAAAAAAAAAAAAAGAACCGAAGCATCAAGGGTAAAGGGAAAAATGAGAGAATTAAGAAAAATAAATAATTTAAAAACTTTTTAAGTTTAAAAAGAAAATTTACCAAAAACGAGAAAGAAAAAACGTTGAGGTTTTAAAATTAAAGACACTTTAGAAAATACATTAAAAATTCAAGGGTGGATGTGAAAAGAAAAATAAATACTATGGATAAAATTAACATGTAATTTATAAATTTAAAAGGATATTTTAATCCAAAAATTAAAAAAGAAAATAAGGTAAAATTGTGAGAAACATAACTTAATGAGGATAAAATTATCCAATTATGGGTCCAACTCCAATGAAATTTTAACCTCTGATACGATCCAGAAGATTCCATCACAGCTTGCATGTGTAACCCAAATACTAATCTCCAGTGTGATTAAACCATAAAGTTACATAAACGTAATGAACTAAATGTCCGTTACAAACCAAATGGGCCTTAATCTTAGAAAACGAAACAATATTTATTTGAATGATATTCATTCTAGCGTTCATGCCTGAAATTTACCTTCAGCATCATGGTAATTTTGCTATCTTACATATGTTAAGTTCCTTTCTATTAATATTTTCTCATTCTTTTAACTGTCTTCATATTTTTTTTATTTTTATTTTTTTATAAAGAAAGTTTTAAATTAAGTTAAAAAATTATAAATATTAATATTTAAATTTCAAATGCTAAATAATATTATTTATAAATAATTTTATAAACCAATTGAAATAGATTCCCAATTCAATATATTATTACCTTAATCTTTCTGTTTTCTTAGATTATATGGACCCAATATTTACCCAATTAGGAAAGACTTTCAGAAACTTCAAAGACTTTCCCAATTATCTTATATTGCATGATTTTCAACTAAAGTACCATCACGAGCAACCACGAGGAATTTTGACCTCAACACTCAGCAGTTCCAAATTGTTTTTATGTGTCAATAAGTGATACAACAAACAGATCAAGCAAAAAGGAAGAGCAGGGGCCAGTGGATGGACGAAAAAATAAAAATCATGACTGATTTTTAACAAATGGACTCCTACATGTGTTTTAAGCTGAATAGAATGGATATAACGAGTAGATATCGGTTTTATCCGGGTCTACTATTTTCAGTTCCTGTTTAATATTAATAATAATAATTTTAATAATAATAACAATAAAATTAATTTAATTAAAATTTAAAAAAAAAAAAGACAAACAAAAAAGTTTAAATGGAGAAAAACAAAAACATAGAAGCTGATGTCAGTGGGTGTCGTGCACGGCACCACTGGCTGTCCACCCCCTGCCA